CAAATGGCTGCAGTACACAACGCGATTCAGTTGTCTTCTTCTGGTGGGATCGACCTACGAATCTCTGCTTCATGTACTTTCATATGACATTAAAGTCCCCAAACAATGATGGCATGTAAACATAAATATATACAAAGCAAGGCTCATTAGTGATTGCCGTTTCCGAGTTGTTGGAGCATTCATTCAGCGATAAAATGTCCGCTTCCGTCACACACGATGGGCATCAGCTGAAAATATACTGCAAAAGTGAAGAACCGATGACCAACCATCCTAGCAAAAGGTCTGTTTTAGTATCGAACTTTCCCGCAAATATGTAAACAAATCTCAGGTCCCCGTTGAATTTCATTCGTTACTTATATTCGTAGTGAGTATGTTTGGAAAATGACAATACGCCTTGAAAGAGCTGCATTCAATCCGGGCCCAAATGGGCGACAAAAGGACCGGGCAGTTGTGTAGCGTATAATGTCGACGTTAATATCACGCCAGACTGCCACGGGCACCAAAGGGTCACGGGGTGGACGGGCATTTCAAGACTCGTCTTGCCTTTACACATCTCCCTCTTGTGGTGGGAGTGTCGATGAAGCCAACTTGTTAGTGCCAATACATTCGACTGCATTACTTATATTCGCAGTGAGTAGGTACTGTAACAACTATAAGCCAGTCTGGTGTCGAATGCAGACACCAAATGTCTACAACTGCGTTGCCGTGACGGTGGTAGTTGCCGTCTCCAAGTTGGCGGGTGAACAACCATCAGACAAGTGGAACAAACTCGGCTGAAATTTGGTCGATGGGCAAAAATATGGCAATACAATTGTGCGCACGAGGTGTCGAAAGTTGCCTGCTTACCTCTTGGAAAGGACGGAGAAGAGGAGGTGAAGGAGGTCGAGGCGAGATGGAGAGAGGAGAAGAGGAAGCCGAGTAGGACAGGAGGTCTAAAGGATTCGAATAGAAGAGGACGACACAACAGCGAGTAGTACTTTGGTGAGTAGTCCGAGGTAGGCGCAAGTCATTGTATAGCAAAAATTAAAATGACCAGTTGGCGAGACTAGAACAGGCCAACAAACTGAGGAAATGTGGCGAAGGCACAGCCTGTGAGGTGGAGAGACGAGAGCAGAAGCTGCAAGCCAATAAGTGAAGCGACAAGCGAACAAGCAGACGGAACTGAGACGAAACGGATAGAAAGACAAAGCAAACGGAGCTGGCAGACATACAAACATGCCTACAGACAGACACACAGACAGACTGACATACATACATACAGACAGACAGAAAGAAAGAAAGAAAGAAAGAAAGAAATGGCTTAGTACAGTTCCACTTGGACTGTTTCGACGTCTGACATACAGGCAAATGCAGAGATGCACAAGTGCATACGGCACACACATACAAAGTGGTAGCTATAAAGCAGGGCGGATGAAGATGTAGATAGCTAGATCGATAGGGAGAAATGGATAGTCATGCCGAATTGAGAGTCTGGTCAAGACAATAGATGCCAAAAAAGCGTAAACACAACGCAAATGTGCATAGAACAAGATAATTTGCATGAGTAAGCAGCAGTAATAAAAAAAGTTTAGGAGCGGGAGCTGATACGAGTTGTGCTACATTCGAGGTTGGTGTCCATGTTGTCAGGAGAGCAGACAAACACCGTTGTCATGCGATAGAACGACGCAAGCCAAGAAGGCCTGGGTACACAAACATGAACGCCTGGGTCTAGTCGCGTCGTCAAGACGAGACTTCACCGAGTTCGGAGTGGACGAATCAATAGATGGTCGTAGAGGCAGACAGCAGCTCAGAGAGCGGACGCCCTCAGATAGAGTGACAGACAAGAGGCAGGCACTCGAGGATGTATCGGATGCAAAGGAAAGTGAGTAGAGTGTAGAAACGGACAGGCATGGAGGCGAAGGAGGTCGATCGGGTGACGACTCTTCCATCTCCAAGGCCACGATGGATTGGATCCGCCTCAAGAACGTTCCAAATTTACATCAACTGTCGGAGACTGCTTTAAAGACCATGACTACATGAAGTGTATATGCAGAGAAAAAGTGGGTTTCGACTAACCTCTTGCGATGAAAGTGTTGTGAGAGGTCAGCTCGTTATCACCAGAAAACATGGAGTGTATGAGATGCATTCACCCTATCCCGTCTAAGGTGATAAGGGATGTGTTGACCTTACGTTTGAATGAAATTTCACACAGTCTTGCTTCCCTAAAACATATTCTCATCCTGCTTGAAGTGGACCGCAGTCTTGTCCTCGCCCGAAGAAGCTTCCTCAGCGCTCCCGAAGGGACTCGAACCACGACACATTGGCCACTACAACTTTGCTTCATCGACAATCCCGTCACAAAATGAGATATTAGAAAAAGGCCTGGTTTCTCTTACAATTCATATCCGCCCCGTGACCCAAAAGCACTAGTGGCAATGCGGAGTAACGGTTAACTTGTAGAGATTATACATTACAGTGCCATAGTTCGAGTCCCGGTTGGGATGATGAGGAGACCAATTGAGGTGAGGTCTGAAATGCAGTCCCCTCCTGCTTGAGTTGGAATATCTTTTGGGAAGCAAGGCTATGTGAAATTCAATGGATAATTGCGGGAAGATTCGACTACCACTCCTTCACCACCTTAATGAAATAGGATGAATAGATCTAATGTATGTGATCTGCTGATAGCCTCGAAAACCGACATTATTGAACGAAAGACGTAGACTTTGTCCAACTGAACGAAGTAATAAATCCAAACAGTTGCAGGGCAGGACGAACTAACCATCGTTCTCCGATGAGAGAGGCCTACGAACCCCTTTGTCATACACATTTTCACAATAAAGAAATGTAGTCACGCCGAAAGGATTCTTCAGCTGGCTGTCGTAGTGACGAGATCAAATGTTGCCTGGCAAAATAATAGGCTGCTAGGAGAGGATCAGCGTCGGGAGGGCAATAATTGTGGCATAAACATATTTGTGGGCCAACGCGTGGCGGTTTGTTGTGCTGGGCATGCGTAATGCCGACAGTTTTGACTGTTTTGAAAATATGAATATATGAGTTTATGAGTAGGCTGATAATTATCAAGCCTCTTTCATATTATTATAAGTAGCATAGTCGATTTTAATGGCAAAATACGGCAAACTGGGTAAAAGTGTTGTCCTCTACTGTGTTATCAACAGCGAGGTATGAGACGGATTCTACGGGTCAAGAGGCAGTCTCCGATAGAACTTATTGGAAGATGATTGCGGAATAATATGTCAGATTCAGATCAACGTTGCCAGCACAATGGGTGAGAAAGTCAGTGTGGGGCGTTAAGAAGTCTCATGAAATCCTCTCAAAAGGACACACGATACCACATTGAATTAAGAAATTAAGAAATTGTGATAGCGAAGGGGTGATAAGAGGAGATAGGGTAGGTGAATAGACTAGGACAGAAGGAGAGATACCCCAACCGTTTAGCAGACAATTGGTCAAAGGATGGACTTAACTTGTCTCTCTGACGATGCCGGCGAAACGTCTGGAAATGTACCACGTCTATGGTTCGACTCTGCATACTATGGATTCCGAACTATGTGCGTTCCTCTAGGCCTTCTTGCCAATATTACCAAGTTGCAAAAAGATGGACAAACAACTACTATTTAATAAAAGTGGTTTACTTTCCAGTAGACACACAATTTTATATGAAAGATTAGGCACAGTTCATAGGCT